CTTGAGGCCATTGCCTCTCGTCCTGTCGCTGGTTACCTGGGAGAAGAGACCAACCCCCCTCACTCCACCCTCCCTTCAGGCAACTGTAGAGAGCGATGAGGTCCCCCCTCAGCCTCCTCTTCTCCTGACTGAACAGCCCCAGCTCCCTCAGCAGCTCCTCATCAGACTTGTTCTCCACACCCCCCCCCAGCCTCGCTGCCCTTCTCTGGACACGCTCCAGCCCCTCAATGTCCTTCTTAGAGTGAGGGGCCCAAAGCTGAACACAGCACTCAAGGTGCAGCCTCACCAGTGCCGAGTACAGGGGCACGATCCCCTCCCTGCTCCTGCTGGCCACACCATTCCTGATCCAAGCCAGGATGCCGCTGGCCTTCTTGGCCACCCGGGCACACTGCTGGCTCATGTTCAGCTGTGTAATGCCCTCATTCTGGTTATGTTGCCTCAAAACCTTCAGTCAGCTCAGATCACCATACACATCCTTGTAACACTGACTTTGTCAAAACTCCCTGTGACGGACAAAGCACAGACCTGCTCCAGCCACTCTACAGAGGCTTGGATCCGTATGAAAAGAGTAATTAGTTTTGCAAAAATATTGTAAACAGGTATGTAAAAAGAAACCTAAAAGTCCACAAACAAAACAAATCGTCCCCTCGCTGTATACCCTGCTTCCCTTCTGACCCAGACCTAGTCTTCCGCCAGGTTACAGAGATGAGACTGCACAACAAGTGCACATCAAGCTGTAGCTCTGTTTCTCATGGCATTTGTTAGAACAGAACAGACCATTTCTGTTGGAAGGGACCTACAGCGATCATCCAGCCCAGCTGCCTGGGCACTTCAGGGCTGACCCGAAGTCAAAGCCTGTTCTTAAAGGCATCACCCAAATGGCCCTTCAACACTGACAGGCCTGGGGCGTCGACCCCCTCCCTCGGATGTCTGTGCCAGTGTTTGCCCACCCTCTCAGTCAAGAAATGCTTCCTAACGTCCAGTCTGTTATTCACAGGCTACAATCACAAAGAAAATGGTGAGTTTTAGGTGACTCATGTGTGCAGTGTTTCCTATCTCTGGGCTACTAGCATCTGTTTTGTCTCAGGCTCAGTATGCCACTACCTTCGATTGCTATAATAAAAATATCATTTTAATTGTTATATTAAAAAATTATTAAAGTTAAAATTACACTAGTATTCATGCTAAGCAAAGCAGAAATCAGCAAAAAGCTTACTGATTCATGTAGCTTTGATTCAGAAACTACCCCGTTCTCCCTGCGTTTTTCTGCGCTAAAAGTTTGGACAGGATTTACTCACAGAGCAGATCTTACGTACCATGTTTTCAGACGGGAGAAGAGTGCCACCAGCACATTGCAGAACGTACCCATGAGGGGAAAAGACCCCTGAACGACAGAACTTTCTTGAGGATTATTTGAAAGGAATCTGCTCTGGCTCTTACCCACTCCTCATTACTTAGGCAGCCGAGGCCCTTGTATGACAGTGAAAAACCAGCCCCTAGTGCCCTTATCTTTAAAAGTAAGCCCAGATGCCCAAAAGAAACCCATTTAGAGGAAGCATGCTGACAGCTGAGGCAGTGAACGAAGCCAACACGCTGGTAACGATGTTTATCTAGCACATCGCTTCACCTCAAGTCCTTAATTTCTCTCTTTATCCAAATGTCTGCTAAGACGGGGTGTATAGCTGGAAAGAGCCTACAAAAAACTTTTGAAAAAAGAGCTTTTATTTGTGCACAGGCCTAGATGTTTTTCTACCAGAGAAAGCGGTTTTAAACTTCACGTGTCCCTGATGTGAGCCATGAAGCAGAGACAGACAGACACGGCTCAAACGCTGACCGTTTCAACTGGCTTCAGGCACAGCGTTGTTTAACCTACCACAGATTTCTGGCTCGTCCTGTACAGCTGTGGCAGCTGCATCAGTATCTCCGCAGACACATCTTTGTCCAGGACACCATAAATGATGGGTGGCACCGACGTAAAGAGGAGATTGAAAAGAATCAAGATCCAGTAGTCAGTCATCGATGTGCCCGAAAACCCACAGAAGAACTGGTACCAGAACAGGAGGTTCACGTAGGCCTGAAAAGTCCAAGATGACACCATAAAATGTTACCCACAGACAAGTATTTTAAAAGCCAGGAGGAAAACAGGCACATCGTAGGTCTGGTTACAGTAATTTGTGGAAAATTAAGTATAAATGCTGTGGAGTTCATGCCAATCCCACACCTTGAAATCACATTTGACTAGCACACAGCTTCGCGTTTCAGAACTGGACACAACCTGTTTAAATAGTCCTGCTGCCTCCACATTAGCAATCGCTGTTACCCACTGCTTAATGAAATCAAACAATGGCTTGGAGAGGGAAATTCAGTCCAAGGAATGAGAGTCTCTGGTCTCTGCAGACATCAGTGGGAAAACTGAACTGTTTGACGTATGTTTTTTGTGTCTTTTTGTACCCATTCGCAATAGCATCACAGAATCATTCAGGTTGGAAAAGACCTCTGAGATCATCAAGTCCAGCTGTCAACCCAACACCCCCACGCCTGCTAAACCATGTCCCGAAGTGCCACATCCACACGGTTTTTGAACCCCTCCAGGGATGGGGACTCCACCACCTCCCTGGGCAGCCTGGTCCAATGCCTGACCACGCTTTCAGTACAGAAATTTTTCCTAACATCCAATCTAAACCTCCCCTGATGCAACTTGAGGCCATTAAAAGAAAACTAAAAAACAACATAAAGCCCTGCTAAATCCTTCAGCGCTCTCAGACATGCAAACTGTGATTTCCCTGGGATGGGACAGCTACATACCACGTTCTTGTAGAAGAAGTAAAGCACCATGTTGGTAAGCCTGGTGTAACACCAATGACCGTGGACAAGCAGCAGCTTCCTGAGGTGCCTGAACTGAGAGATTGCAAAGTCACTTGCCATCACAGCCTGCAACGCACACGAAGGAAAGGATATGTTATACCCAAACTGCGAAAGATCAGCTTCAGGTACCGCCACGTGAGCAACGTACTGTTGGAAATTCTTAGGTTGTTTTTTTCAATACAGAGTGCTTTCGGTCTTGCCCTCCCTCAGATCTGAGCCCCTCCATGTCACGCTTTACACAAACACACACAGCTCAGCCCGCCGCAGCAGAGGCAGGGATGGCGCCGGGCTCGCTACTTGGCCAGAAACCCCA